AAAAGTTTTCATTAAGTTTAATAAAGATAAGAGCAAGGTCTCACCTTAAATATTAAAAAAAAAAAAAAAAAAAAAAAAAAAAAAAAAAATTCTACTAAAACTCTCTGATATTAATCAACTTTCTTTGAGATATTACTAGTCCAATATCTAAAGAAATTCTACCAAAACTCTCCGATAGAATAACAAAATATTAATCAATTTTCTTCGAGATATTACTAGTCTAATATCTAAAGAAATTCTACCAAAACTCTTTGATAGAATAACAAAAATATTAATCAACTTTCTTCGAAATATTACTAGTCCAATATCTAAAGAAATTCTACCAAAACTCTCCAATAGAACAACAAAATATCAATCAACTTTCTATCTTGTCCAATATTTATCAAAACTCTTCGATAAAACAACAAAGTATCAATCAACTTTCTTCGAAATATTTACCTTGTCCAATATCTAAGAAATCTTATAAAAACTTTCTGATAGATCAACAAAATATTAATCAACTTTTTTCAAGATATTTACTTTGTCTGATATCTAAAGAAATCCCACAAAAACTCTCTGATAAATCAACAAAATATCAATCAACTTTTTTTGAGATATTTGCCTTGCTTGATATTTAAAATAATCCCATTAAAACTCTCCGATAGACTAACCAAAATATCATTTAACTTTTTTAGAAATATCTACTTTGTCCAATATCTATATGAAATCTTCTTGCAGAAAAAAATCAAAGTATTAGCAGATTTCTGTGAGATATATACAATTGCGATATTTTATTAAACTATCAGTATATATTATAAGAATATCGAAAGAGAGATAGTTTGTCCGAAATTTTATTGTTCAACTAGTATAAGAAACTCGTAATTCTATATAAAAATTTTATATAAGTTTACACTTTTTTTTGCACTATAAAAACTTATAAAAGTTTACATTAATATATAAAAATTTATAAAATACTATTAAGATTTAATCTTAAGAAAAATAAAAATATTTACAAAACATTTTAAAGATATAAAAAAATTTTTCAAATTCAATATTTATATATTTTATACTAAAACCAAATTTGGAGCTAAAGAAAACCAAGGTTTTAAGCCATACTCTACAAAGACAACATTAAAAACAGTACTAAGCTAAAAGATAGAATAAAGAAAAATAACTAAAGTCTTTTAGAACAAAATTATTTCTTATACCCTTGGGAGCCTACTTTTTGGAAAAATTCATACTTTCGACAAAAATTTTAAAATTTTTTTAGAATTTTGGGGATCTACTTTAAACCTTGTAATGTAGATCTGTAAGCTAACAAAACAAAACAAACAAACACATCCATTTTCGGCGATAAACAAACAATTTAAATTGTGGTAGATAAACAAACAACACAACAAACAGACACGTAAAGTAAACAAACAACATGCGTAAAATGCTGGATCTTGTAGACTATAAAAATTTTTTTAATAAGTCAGAAGAGGAAAGAGCTTTAATTCAAAAGAAACAAAACATATATCTTTGGGAAGAAGACAAAAAAGTCTTTAGGTACTTAGGAACAACAGAAACCTATCTTATTGCAATCATTTGAGAAGTATTACAATGGCATGACTATGCACAACAACAAAAAAATAGAGGTTTAAATATAATAGAAGAAGAAGAAGCTCTTATAAAACACCCTAGTGATGTTAAGATACAAGTAAACAAAATAGATAAAGTAATCTCCCAAATAGGCAATATTAGGCTCAAAAGTGAATCTATTCCTATGGAAACTACAACAACTCATCACATAGGCTCTCTTACCAAAACTAGCAATAATATAGAAATGGATAAAAATAAAATAACAGAACTTTCTAAAAGAAAGACCACATCTCAATATAGTAATAATTTTAAAAAAATCAAAAACGATATTGAGCCAATTTTTATGGAAACTGTACCGATTGTATTAACTACAAAAACAATAATACTATAAATAACACAGAAGAAGAACTACACTGTAACTTTCGCAAATGCAACTTAGAAGAACAAGAATTAAGTTCTCATTCTTTAGAAAACAAAGAAGATTTAGTTAAAGCAGCATTAATCCAAAATGAATATAGCATGCTTAATTATGGACTTATAGAGCATATTGAAGAAGTACCACAAAAGAAGACAAAAGCCTATATACACAAAAGCAGTAAAAAATACAAGCAATACAAGGATATATACAACTCGGCTTGGGCCCCGAAGAATGAAATTTCTCCTCTAAAACAAATACACAATCCAATATATAATTTTACAATATAGGACTTGCCCAAAGAAATAGGTGCATCAGTAATAAAGTCATACCTTGGATATTTTAGTACAGCAAAACTGGTTTCATAGCAACAAAATTTTAGAACCAAGGCAGCCTACATCAAAATCTTGCCAAGTTCCAAGCAAAAAGAAAAATCACTAAAAGAAAGCTGGTTCATTCACCTGGAATATGGCAAAACATATTGTATTACACCTGGCAAATTTGACATTTCTGAATTAGAAGAAAGGAACCTTTACAAAAGTGTAATTTTCAATATACCAACATCTGCTTATGATAGTCTTCTACTATACCAACTAAAGAAGTATAAAGTACAGGCAGTACATATATTAAGCAATTATAATGGAAATTAAAGAAAAGTGGCTCACCTGTATTTTAAAACAGAGGAGGATCGTATATTAGCCCAGAATTGCAAGCTCTATTACTTTAATACCAAGCTTATCTGACATCCAACTATTGACCTCTCAAATAGAAAAAATTTATATAACAATTTTCAGTACAAGAAAACAAATAGAGATATAAAGAAAGGGAAAAGTCCAGTAGTTCTGAAAAAAAGATTTTCTACCAAATGGTTATCTACCAAACAGAGCATTAGAGAAAAAAGATATATATATAACTCCTCAGATAGTAAAGAGAATAAAAGAAATACCAGAAGCCCCAGAGCTGGCAGCAATACCAGAAGACCTCTTAGAAGTATAGAAAATAAATATGCTACTGGTGCTAACAGAATAGAATTAAATAAGAAAAAAAAGAAACAAAAAAAACAAGAGATTAAGATAGACCAAGCCAAAAATATTTGAGGACTAGTAAATGAAATAAAGAAGAGATTCACAAAGCTGGAGTTGCAAATCGTCTAGCGTTCCTAAAAGTTGCCATAGTTGAATCACAAGTAAAAGAGTTGAGAGACACCCTAAGGCCAGAAAATCTAGGCCAAATCAATGAAAGGGTCGAAAGCTTTGAACAATTAAAATTAGGTTTCTATAATATAAATGATTTTAAAGGAAATAGATCGAAATTGCAAGAGATTTTAGATTTTAGTATAGAAGAAAATTTGAATATTATAGAGTTAATAGAAACAAATATTAGTGCAAGAGATGGGGCTTTTTTAGAAGTAGAATGATAACAATTTAGGAAAAAAGGTTCAGGTGTAGGTATTATAATAAAAAAAAAATGGCAAACACACTTAACAGAAATAGTATGCAAGAATATATATGCGTTAAAAGCAGTCTTTAGATTTAAAAAAACAATATTAGTTATCTAAGTAGTATATTTTCCCCCGAATGACAAAGATATGCAAAGAAAGATACAACAATTTTTGATAGAAGACATCACTAAGAGTAGCTCAAATACAAGAATATTAATAAGAGGAGACTTTAATGCTAAACTAGACCCTCATACTACCCTTAGCCAATATACAGATAATGAGACTTCAGAATACAAACACAGTAAACTGCCCTTATTAAATTGGCTTCAAAGAGTAGAATACACAGAATCTTACCTATTAATCAATCCTCAAACTTTTAAGGCAACCTGGTCTAATAACAATTATCACTCGAAAATAGACTATATATAGCTAGATTCAACAATAAAAGAGCTTATAATAGACAGTAACATCAAAGATATGGATCTGGTAACAGGTAGTGATCACAACCTAATATGGGCAAAGGTACTATTAAGCCCAATACTCCACTCTAATTCGGTTGCTAAACAACGTAGAAGATATTCTGGACAACATAAAATATATCTCTATGACAAAATATTTAATGAAGATTGGGAAAAGTTTACTACTCTCTTAGAAAAATATTTAAATGAGAAACAAAACAGAGTCAAAAAGAGAAGAGTTGAAACTAATCTCTTAGTAACAGAATATCTGATAAACAAAGATTAGAAAAAGCTTGCTAATTGTATAACAATGGCAGCCAACAAAACGGTCCCCTTTAAGAAGATTAACAATATGCTAGAAGAAAGGCAAAAGCAGATTATCTGGAGCCCAAGATATAAATGGATCAAGCAACTCAGAAGTATAGAAAGAAAGGGTGACAAAAACCTAAATGATAAAATTAAACCAGAAAATCAAATCAAGTGAACCTTAATAACAAAATGGAAATTAAAGAGGTTGAAGATTGCTGGTCAGAGCAATGGATAAAAGACCTCAAAGATTGGATAAAAGTAATCGAAAAGAAAATGATCTCTGAACAAAGAACAGAGCAAGATAAAAAGATAAGAGAAAATATAGAAAGAAGGTTTGGAATAGTCAGCCAAGACGAGAAGAAAATGCTAAATAGCATCCTCGAAAGACCATGGAATAAATTAAAAATAGAAAGAATCCTAGTGACAACAGACCTGGTAAATGGAAAGAAAGAGCTAGTTTATGAACTTGAAGAAGTTAAACAAGCTGTAGATAAGCATTTTTCAAAACAGTTTGAAGAGGTTGTTAATGATTTAGATGAGGAAAAAGAGGAGTGGCAATCAGAATATGAACCCTTAAGCTATATTAACCAAGAGTGGTACAATAGCCTGTTCAATGAAATCAAAGAAAGGGAATAGAAAGAAATACTCCAGAAAACCTCAAACAACTCAGCTCCAGGGTTGTCAAATATCAGGTATACAATTCTAAAAAAACTAGGAAAAAAAGCAACAAAAATTCTTTTAGAACTTTTAAACCTAATTTTAGAGGAGAGAATAATGCCAAGAAAATGGAAAATTAGTATGATTTTCCCAATACCAAAACTAGCAGAATGGAACTTATAATTAGAAAATATCAGGTCTATAATACTTCTTGAAGCAACAAGAAAAGGCTTAATTAGGATTATCCAGTGGAGATTAAGTGACCGCATAATTGTCTACAAGATTCTAAGAGAACCCAACTTTGCAGGATTACTAGGAGAATGTATCCAAGAACCAATTCATATAATGAATTCTCTAATAGAGTATACAAAACAAGATAATAAAGAAATGTAAATAACCCTCATTGATATCAGAAAAGCATTCGATATAGTCGACTTTAAAAGACTCCAACTGGCATTAAAGCATATTAAAGTCCCAGAAAAATTAGAAAAATTCTTAATTAATCTTTTTTCAAACTGAGAAATTAAAGTACTTACCAAATTTGGAGTAACAAAAGGTTTCTATGCAAAAAGAGGAATAGACCAAGGCGAGATGATTTCTCCTCTCCTATGGAAAATTTACTTTGACCCCCTGCTATACAAACTGCAAAAATATAACAATGGGGCAGAAGCCAAAATTGAATAGCCCATAGATCTGACATGGGGAATACAAGAAGAGAAAATTTGCAAGTTGCAGGGCTCGTATACGCAAATGATAAAGCTCTTATAGCAAACTCCAAATCAGACATGGAAAGTATAATAGAAATTGCAGAATCCTTCTTCAGTTTAAACAATATCAAGATTAACAGGAAAAAAACTGAGTTATTAGTAATAAACCCAAAAAATAAAGTCAATAGCTATAAAGAAGGGTAAGATGAAAATAGTAGCAAAAAAGAAAAAAGAAGCAGTAAGATACTTGGGGGTCTGGCTCACATTTGCAGAACCCAAACAAATAATTATAAAAAAACTTGGTTAGGAAATCAAACAAATGGCCAATCTGCTACTTAAAAAAAAAATCTCAATAGAACATATAAAATATATAAACAATATAGTAGTTCTTCTCCAAGCTGAATACAAACTTAATATACTAATGCTTACCAAAAGAGAATATGAAAAACTACACCAGCTAATTTTACAGGTTGCAAAATAGAAAGCAGAAATGTCTTTGACTGCATCCAACTCTATTCCGATACAAAAATATATATAGGAAATTAATTCTTTATAGCAACATCACACCACACAAAGCACATGATTGCAGAATGGGTAGTTAGAATAAATAATCTGGATTTGGTAGGTGACCTTATCAGAATGCAGCTAAAAGAGGCTCAACTTACACTCAGATCTACAAAACTGGTATAGCTTCTATCAAGTAAAGAAATAAAGCTCTACAAATAGAAAAACAATCCCAACACAGCCATATTAGCAACAGCAAAAGAATTAGGGATTAATATTAAAAACCCGAACTGAGAAGAAAATTGAAATATAGCTCCAAGAAACAGTCCAATCAATGAAATAAGAGGGTTAATTCAAAAAAAAAATCTGGAAAAAAGCAGTATAAGTCTCAAAAAATTAAACATTTGGTATTTAGAACAAATATAACAATTCTATGCTCACTTGGCAACAAGTTCGTAAAGTACGAAACATATCGACAATAGGATGAGTACCCCTTTGGTTTCAAAGATTAGAAGAAATAGTAATTATAGACAGAGTTTTTCAAAAAGTTAAAGAGTCCATAATACAAGATAATGCGATAAATAAAAAACAAATAAGAACAAAAAAGAGAAGAATATCGCACAAGAAATCAAAGAAAGAATGGGTACTAGAAACGAAAAAAGAAAACAACTCATGCTTCATTAGAAGAATCCAAAAGAAATTCTCATATAAAAAGGTTCACATACTAGAATGAGATGAGAAAAATAAAGAAAACTCATCTTACACGATCTCTTCTAATCCAAAATTAGCCTCTACCTCCAATGTATTAAAGACGAAGAAAAGTGATTTAGAAGACATAAGCCTATGAGTTAAAAGAAAAATTAAAGGAGGCTGGGCCGCTTCTATTGGTTTAGAATATCT